AAAGACAAAAACCCCCCGCCACAGTGGCAGATCCTGCGGCAGCGGGGAGCAGGAATCATGATGGGGTTGGTGCCGGTGCCCGGGAAGGAGCGACTGCAGCCCCAGCCCCGCTGGCTCCCGGCGAGGAGCAGTGCCTTTCTGCTCTGACCACAGAATCGGACAGCAGAGATCCTCCTGCCCCCGGGCAGCCGGACAGCCCTCGGTCCTGCCACAGGAGTTACTCCTGCTCAAGCTGCGGGGGCTGGGGATCTCTTTCAGCCCACTGATATAGCCAGTCCCTGTTAGAACAAAAAGACCCAACTGATACAGTGTTAATAGAAGCCTTGCTTGAAAGCCACAAACAGAAGTGGTTTCTTGCTGGTCACTTTGTGAATAGGCTCAGATACACAATTACAAACTGAATCCTTCAGCTCCACAGAATGCTTCCAAGACACTCCTGCTGGTGTTCGAAAGCCATCCTGCAGGGCTGGCAGTTCTACCTCAGCAGCAATATGAGAAGGAGATATTGATTGTCACAGACACCTTCGGATGTATCCCACAGTGGAGAGTGTTCAGGACATAGAGCTTGTTGCATAGGATTCCCCTTCACCTCAGACTGAGAGCATTTAGTGTTGGAATGAAGTCCAGGTGATGGGAGACAAGGTAGAGCTGGGCACTTATTGAAAGAGACATCTGAGACCCAAGTTCAGACTCAGGAGTGAACCACAAAGAGATCTGAAGAGTTGCTCTCCAGGGCTGAAGATGTGAGGTGAGTGAGAGCTGGAAAGAGACATGGGGTCCTTGGCCCAGCCAGTTCCCAGTGAGGCCTGGGTGGCTGTAGGAGCTGACACAGCTGCAAAAGCCCATGTTCACAGACTTCCGAGGCAGAGAGGAAAGGTTCAGCCCTCTTCCCTGCCTCTGCTGGGGACTGCTGTGGCACCTATAGTTGTATTACAGGGGAACTCGTGGCAGGGTTGCCATCATTGGAGAGCAGAGGGCAGCCCACCATCCTTCTGCCATGGCCTCCAGCCTTCTGCCATGGCCTCAACTGCACAATAGGACCCTGAAGGCCTTGTGGGACCAGGGCTGTGAACGGTGGCTGCTGTGTTAATAACCTGCTTCCTGCAGTCCCTTCCAATTGTGTGAGCAAAGGGCCCTGGGTGAGCAGTGGCAGAGGAGATCTGCTCCAGGCAGCAAACAGCAGAAGATGTTAAAATCAAGTAGCCCTTTTTGTTGCCTGTGTATTGGGGTTCTGGGACCTGGGGTGGGACAAGCAGCTGGAGGTTGTAGGTAATGTGGGTAGGTGAATGGACACAGAGGGATTGCCTGCACAAAAGAGAGTTTTGTTGCCATGTCCTAGCCCCCACCAGAGTGTGGAAGTCTGCCTGTTTCTGTGCAGCTGTTTTCTGCAGCAGATGCTCTTTACAGCAATGTTTCTCTTCAGGTTCCTTCTCTACAGCCAGAGGCAAAGGGAGAGAGTGTGTCACGCCTGGGTCCAGGCACTTCAGTGTTTGCCTTGTCCTCTCTCCATCCAGACAGTC